ACTAAGTGGACAGTGAGGCCGGTATCCATCTTAGACTCAGTGGACAGTGAGGCCTGGTATCCGTCTTAGACTCAGTGGACAGTGAGCCCCCGTATCCCTCCATCTTAGACTCAGTGGACAGCGAGCCACGCCCCCCCCTCCCCCGTGCGCACTGGGATTGTATGAGCGCTTCACTGCTGGGCTTTACAGTTTTTAAATGAGAGTGTTCTGTGGACTCGAACTTAGGTCCTTGGGCTTGCTCGGTAAGCACTTGGCAGACGGAGCAGCTCCTCAGCCCCTGCGCTCCCTTCTCTAGGAAACAGGTAACGAGGAGGCCTCTGGTTGCTGGTGTTCCTGACTGCCCAGTGAGGCGCCCCCGTGGCTCTGACAGCACTGGACGAGCTTCTGCACAGCCTCCAGATGCCTCTCACTTCGAGTTTGATTCTGCCACTGTCCTGTACCCACGGGAACTTCCCTCATCAGTCTCCCATTTCAGATGCCCAGAGGGCTATGGGGAGCAGTGCAGGAAATCCAGAACTGGACCAGTGCCAGGGCTGCTGGGAATTCTGGTCCTCGCCATACATTGCCTCTTGGATTGGTATGGCATACTTCTCTTCATGAACCCAGCTTCATGATGGCGCCTCCAGGAAGCCTTCTCTAGCTCCCTTTTGTCTCAGAGTGTGGACCTTTCTTCCATCCACAGGCTGTGTTAAGGTGGGGTGATGCTGTGAGGCTCGTTCCTCGGCACAGTGGGCAGGGAAGCAGGGTGCTTCTCACTTTGGGGGAGCGGGGACATGGTTGTCACTGGCAACCCCTTGTCTTTCTACAGTGTAGCATCTACGCCGAATTTGGAGTTCCTGGTCCAGAGATGGCGCAGGAGGCTGCTGGCAGTAACACAGAGCCCGGGGACATGCAGGTGCCCTTTGGGGGCCTAAAGCAGAGCAGGGCTGGGTAACAAGGGTTGGCGGGAGGGCTAGGCACAATTCCCTTTAAACGGAAGCCTGACGGTCCTGCTTGGAGCGGGAGGTGGGGGGTGGGCACTGGGGAAGGGAGGGTCCTGGAGGACACTCTAGGCAAGTAGGGAAGGCCACACTGACCTGGTGTCAGTCAGGGGGTCTTGAAGCTAGAGTTTTCCTGTCTGGCCCACAGTCAGGACAAATCTCTGTCACTCGCCAGTCCCACAGCCGCTCAGACCCAACCAAGTAAACACAGAGACTTATATTGCTTACAAACTGTATGGCCGTGGCAGGCTTCTTGCTAACTGTTCTTATAGCTTAAATTAACCCATTTCTATAAATCTATACCTTGCCACGTGGTTCGTGGCTTACCGGTACTTTACATCTTCCTTGTCTCCTGCCTTCCTGTTCTTTTATTTCTCCTCTCTGTTAGTCCTGCCTATACTTCCTGCCTAGCCACAGTCAATCAGGTTTTATTTATTGACCAATCAGAGCAACACATTTGCCATACCGACCATCCCCCAGCACAGCCAAGTGCAGACCATCTCAGACACCTGCACTCAGGCCCATGGTCCCAATCATCCTCTATGCGGACCTGCTGGGTAAAGCCACAAGGAACCCGAGAACGGGCTCCCACGGGACATACAGAACATCCCACAGCAGGGTCTGGTGCTTCTGGCATGGGAACTGGGATCCCTCAGAATGTCAAGTATGGCACAAAGCATCGGGTTCTCTAGGAGCTCACTGATGACAAGGAGTCTCGGCCTCTCAGAAGGTCAGGGATAGTGTGGGGATTTAGATCTCCTGAAGGCTGGGGATGACACAAAGATTTGGGGTTCTCCAAAAGACTAGGGACCACACAGAAGTCTGAGATTGCTTAGGGAGGTTTGGGATGACACACAGGCCTGGAGTCTCCCACGGAGATCACAGATACCACGGGGAATGCCCAGAGAGGTCAGGCTTTGATCTGGACTTTGTCCCTGGTGGTGACCGACCCATGACAGTCTTCTGACCTAGTGGGTTTCTGTTTCCTTTTCTGAGAGAACAGGGCAGTGGCATGTGCCTGCCGGGAGGGGTCTGGGGTGGGGACAGATGGGAACATTTGTACATTTTGCTTCTTGAACGTTTTCATTATCTCTGTCTTGGCTGGAATGTACCTGAAGGAAGTATCTGGAAGAGGAGAGCAGGAGGGGATGAGGAGGCCATGACTCCCATGTCTGGACAGTCCCTGGGCCGGGGATGGGGTCTGTGGGCAACCATTCCCTCTATAGTCTGGTAAACAGGCCTAGAGAAGCCGAGTCATGGCCCAAGAACCCAACCCTGATGCCCCCTCATGGGGGATCTTTTTTGTAGGTGACTCGACGTGTCTCCACTTTGAGCACCAGAACTGGGAGAAACTGCCTCTTCTCACGTGAGCCTAGACGCCCTTGGGAGTCAGTCATCTTGGACTACTGACCTCTGCCTTGGGTGCCCCTGGCTGCTGGGTGGGGTGAGTGCTGGGAGGTGACCCAGGCAGAACTTCATTGCACTGTTCAAATCCCCCTGTACTGGCGCCCCGCCTCGACTTGTTCCACTTTCCAAAATAGCTAATGAGGAAATTAATTTTGTCACCCAGATGAATGTAGTAAAAGCATGTCAGGGAAAGACAATTAACCTCTGCACTGATAGATCTTTCCCAAATTAATGAAATTCGTTTGTAGATGCTGAGAGATTCTGTTGAGGTGAGGACCGCTCAACCCCAGTTTCCTCCAGGCTGCGAGGAGAGGTTGGAAACAGAAAAGAAAGGGGATGGAAGAGGTGGGATGAGGGAGGGGTGGGGAGGACAGAGATGCACACACCTTGGCTTTGATATTTACATTGTCCAGAATGTTCTCTAACAAGCTCCATACATGGAACCAGACAATAAACATCAGGCTACTTTAAAAATACAGGCTTTTCAGCCTTACCTCGACGAAGCTGCCTCCAAGCTGAACCCTGCTGGATTCCTTTTTCCTGGGGACTCCAGGTGAAAGGAGTTGCCTGGAGACCAGGGACCCACAACCCCCAGCACCCACACCAAGTTGCTGATTGCAGAGGTGGGAGCCTGTAGTCTTTGCTGGAGGAACTGAAGTCAGGAGAATGACTGCGGGCTGCTGGTTAGCCAGCGGTGAACACTAGGTTCCTCTCTCAAAGAAAGAGGTGGAGGTTGAGGAAGACACACAGCCTCCGTCTCTGGCCTCCACAGAGGCCTTCACACATTTGCACATGTTCCCTCCACCCCACCCTCCTGAGACACACACACACACACACACACACACACACACACACACACACACACACACACACACACACACACACGGTCATCTGGCTGAGTCTCTGATCACGGAGGGTCCTGTCAATCAACTCATGCATCTCCCTCAGGTCTCTCCCCCTTGTGGAGACCACGTAGGGTTTACAGCAGCATCTAGAAGAGGCTGGGCTGATTAGACAGGACAGGACAATTGGTAGGAGAGCCAAGTTCTGGGCACACGGGTAGGCAGGGCTGATGTCGGAGGTGTCAGCAGGAGGAGAATGGAGGCCTAGTATGGATGCCACCCTTTTGGTCCTCAGAGCATCAGTTTCCACCTAGAGAGCATCCATTTAGGAAGCAGGCCCAAAGGACACCTCTCCTGAGTCTTGCAGCTTTGGAGGCGTGGGTAGACTGGCGGGAGACCTCTCAAGGGTATGTCTCCTCTATAGTATGGTTCTGGGTTCTGCTTCCTGTTAGGTGTCAAACCCAGGACAAAAGGCTGAGGGGCCAATCTAACATATCAAAGAGGATGCTGGCCACCAGGTTCTCCCAGCATCCCTCATTCTTTCCCTGTTACAGGGCCCTCCTGGCTGGCACACCACACTGCCTACCCCAAACTTCTCCAGCCCAGGGGCTGGGCTGCCCTTCCCACAGATGCCCTTCCCCACATTTTAGTTACCTGGCCTGTTTTGTCTAGTCTCCTGGCCAGTCTCTTGGCCCAGGCTGCCCCTCTTGGTCGGCAGCTGCTCTCTGCCCCCTCTCCTCACATGGCTCAGGGTCATGTCCACTCTGGACTCTCCCAGATGTTCCTGCCTCTGACCACATTCTGACTTTATCTACAATAAACCTTCTCCTCCACCATACCTAGGAGCAGTCATGTCCTTCCTTTTTTTAATTTAGGTTTTTTTTTTTTTCCATTCACTTCTCAGATGCTCACAAGTAGGCCTCCCCTGTGAAACCTGGCTGGCAAACTTTGCCCACAGGGTATACAGCTGTGCCACCAGCCAGAGGCATTCCCATAAGACCATAAGACTTTCCATACTTATGTTAAATCTTCCACCTCTGTGCACACTGGGCCGGAAGCAGCCATCATTTTGACTCTCACTACAGTACCAGTTCCTGGAAGTAGATATTGGGGTACATGGGGCAGGACAGATAATATTGTCATTCTCAGTGAACAGCTTGGAGGCAGCCAGGAAATGGGGGGAAAGGCTCTTTAGCCACCCAGGGCTTCTCTCTAGAAAACACAGGGCACTGACAGGAGCCAGCTAACAAGAGGGAAAAAAACCAGGAACTGGAGCGTTCAAGACCTAAGATAGAGGGAGTTAAGCCTGGGCCGCCATATTGTCAACTTGCCTGGTGGAGGTCAGTGGCAGGGCTGAGAACATGCCATCCACTTGTCTCACAAACACTGCTCACACATCGTGAGCACAGGCAAGCGGGGAAGGAGATATTAGGTGCCTGGCGTCCGAGGACCAAGCTCTTACTATCTAATCTCCGTAGACAGAGTGGCAAGTGTGCGGATTGGAGGCATTGACAGATATCACCTATCTTGAGATCCGTTAGGCCGTTGTTCACGCTTCGTGAGAAGCCTCCCCCACCCTCACGCCAGGAAATGGAAGAGATTTGTCCAAGTGTGGCCTAGGCAAGCACCTCAACGGCCACTCAAATAGGAGGGTCTCAGAGTGGCGTCCTGGAGCTCAGGCTAGTTGATGGGGGTCAGAGGATGGGGAACCATCAGCCTTTCAAAGGTCAACCAGGGTGGTGGGGAAAGGCCTCAGCGAAGACAGAGGATGATGGGATCCACGTTGCCCAATGAGACCATAGAAGGGATGGGAGATGGGACCAAATGAGGGGCGGGGACACAGCAAGCTGAAGAGGGCTTGTTTGTCTCTCTGCCTGCCTTCCTTCCTTCCTTCCTTCCTTCCTTCCTTCCTTCCTTCCTTCCTTCCTTCCTTCCTTCCTCCCTCCCTCCCTCCCTCCCTCCCTCCCTCCCTTCTTTCTTTCCTTTCTTCCTTCCGCCCAGCACTAAATTGGGTTGCAGATATTCTCATCCCATCTACCAAAGGTGGAGGGTCAGACTGGTACGGGCCAGGCAAGCATAAACCCAAAGACAACCTCAACAGCAGCACTGAGCTCTGCCTGCCCCATGTTCTGCCCACCCCCCAGGGTTTAATCCCAGAGATGATAAGGCTGAAAGCTTGCAAGGCAGAGGAGAGTTCGGGGGAGATGAGATGAGAATGAGCCTTAGGTCTGCATGTGTTCTTGGGTTAGGGCTTTTCCAGATCCACATTTACCAGCTGCCTTTCTCTGTGCTCGGAACAAAGATTAGGCAGGCTTGTGGCTCAGTCCACGGCTTGAAGCCTGCAAGTCAGGGAGCAGAAAGACTGTTTGGGCATCCAGGGGAGGGTTAAGCATGCAAACTAGCGACCTGGTGGATTCCACCGTCAAACTCCTGGAGCCGGGTTGGTGCTGCCTTGTAATAGTGGCCCATCTTACAGGACACACGATGTCTGGAGGATGAAGGAGGAAAAGCAAGGGCGTTTACAGAGAAGGCAGAGCATGACTCAGCAAAGCAGAAGTCTTGGTCCAAAGCCACACCTCCTTTCCTTTCCTGCTGTGACACACCCCCAGGGGTGCCCAGGAGCCAGGAGTCTAGCCTGCCCTATGGCTCCGGAGCCTTCCGTAGGGAATCCTCTGGCTTGGTCTCTCTGGAGATGGGTCTAGCCTAAGGAGGGCTTTTCCCTTGCTGGTGTCTTGGATGACCCCGCAGGCCACCTTACTGAAAGGGTTAATCAGCTGCCATGCAGGGGGTGGTGACAGAGAAAAGTAGGGAAGTAACCCACATAGAAGAAGTCTCACAGCTGGGGCCCTAGTTCCTAATTCCCTTGTTGAAATGGTGCCTGAGGGCTCTTGGCCTCTGGCTCCCCTTCCACTCCGTTCTGAGAGACAAAGGTTTCCCCTCCAGACCCTTCCTCCCCACTGCTGACTCAGCTCCTTCAACAGCATGCGAGGGCTGCTGGGAGCTGGCCACTCGCTGAGTCTGGTCAGGGGTCAAATTGCTTTCCCCGACTGCCTTGGCTGCTTCCTATTTAGAGACCAAGGCTTCTGGAGGTCAAGCGACAAAGGGACATGCCTGCATTTATGATCAGTGGTATGATGGTGGCCCACCCAGGAGCTCTGCTGTCTGTGAGAGGCTCAAGGGTAGTTAGGGACAGTCCTACCTGGGAAGGGCTATTAATGCTCCATGGTGCTTAGATCCCATCCATTGGCGGTAGAATGCAGCCAAGAGTTTTCCCTGGGGACAGAAGTGGTTCCTTAGGAGGCCTGTCCCTCTGCATGGATTCTCCAGGAGCACTTGGAGGGACTTGCAGGGACCCTGACTCCACGTGAAGGATGCCTCTGTTTATGTCTCTTCTTTGTTCCTTGCATGCAGACTTGGGCTCAGGGCTTCACTCTCCTGGTCTTGGCCTTCATTCTGGGTCCCTTTTTCTGGTTCACTTATTCCTCCAGTTCGTCCACAATCACTAGAGCCTTGAGTTTACAGAACATGGTCCTGTTTTTAGATAGGGAATGCTAAGAAGGAAGCCCCCTCAGTGGACAGGAGGGTGGGCTAGTTTCTAGGCTCCGTCCTCTAGAGAGGACTGTCTTCCCAACCTCATTATCACCACGGTCCTCTGCTGTGGATATATGTATGCTGTGAATGTGTTGCTCTGATTGGTTAATAAATAAAGTGCTGATTGGCCAGTAGCAAGGCAGGAAGTATAGGTGAGACAAAGAGAGAAGAGAATTCTGGGAAGCGGAAGGCTGAGTCAGGAGACACTGTCAGCTGCTGCTACCATGAGAAGTAGTATGTAAAGTACCAGTAAGCCACAAGCCACGTGGCAACGTATAGATGAATAGAAATGGGTTAATTGAAGATATAAGAACTAGATAGCAAGAAGCCTGAGCCATTAAGCCAAACAGTTTAAATAATATAAGCGTCTGTGTGTTAATTTGGGTCTGAGTGGCCGCGGGCCCAGGGCAGGACTGGAGATAACTCCAGCTACAGTCCTCTGTAGAGAAGGGAAGTGGTTCTGGGAATCTGGAACTGGTAGGGGCTTTGAGTATACTTACTTATCATTTGTACTAGTAGAGAACTAGTACAAGCTTGAATTTGGGGCTTCAAGCATCCTACGCAAGTACTCTCCACCTGAACTACATCCTCAGTCCTCTTTTTTTATCTTGAGATAAGAGTCTTACTAAATTACCTAGTCTGTCATTGAGTGTATTGAGTAGTCCAGGCTGGCCTTGAACTTTTGATCTTCCCACCCTAGCCTCCCAAGAGGAAAGGAGAGGTGGAGGAGATGCTGCGAGCCGCTGCCAGGAGAAGCAAGATGTGAAAAT